ATTTGTTTTCTTGATATTGAGTTTCAATTCATATTGAAGGCTGTAGTCCTTGACCTTCTGCAGCAAATGCCTCAGGTCCTTCTCAGTGCAAGGCTGTGCCATCTGCATTACACAGGTTGTTGATGAGTCTTCTTCCAATCTTGATGCCACTTTTCTCCTCATAGAGCCCAGCCTCTAGATGATCTGTTCTGCATATAGATTGAAAAAGCAAGGAGATAGGATGTATCTGGCTTATAGTTTTCCTGATTCTGAACCATGTAGTGTTTCCTTGCTTTGTTCTGACGACTGCCTCCTCATCCAAGAATAGATTTTGCATAAGCACAATCAAGTGTCAAGTGTTCTGGGATTCCCATTCTTCTCAGAGTTACTCACAGCTTGTTGTTTGAATACTAGCCACATTAACAGAGCTTCCTTTTATGTGTATGTATAACAACCTTGTACTTTAGGATAGAATTTGAAATTGTCTTTTTATGCCATTCTGCTCATGGTTTTCATTCCTGATATGGTATACCATGTGATTGATTAGAAGTGGCCAAAGCCACTCATCTCACCAATGCCTAGAATGCCAATGTTCATGAACTCCATTACATTTTTATCTACTTCTAGTTTTCCAACATTCATATTTTATGCATTCCATATCCCAGCTCCTATTGGATGTTTGCAGTGGTTTCTCTTCATTTTGATTGGCTTATAATCTGGGATCTATCTCCAATACTATAACTGTCTATGTTCCTTTATTGTTTATAGTGTTTTCAGTGGCCTGCTATTTAAGAAGTGCTTGGCCAATCTTGTTTCCTAGTCTGTCTTCATCTGGGAGCTATATTAAAACCTGTCCGCCATGGGTGACCCCACTGGCATATGACACACTGGTGGCACAGCTTTCAGCATCACAGCAACCCACAAGTTACTTCAGTACAGTATACTGACAGACAAGTGTTGCACTCATAAGAACAATGATAAATAAGCAACAAATATACGTAATCTATAAAGTAATTAGCAACATGCAGATCATACAACAGACTGACAGATGAATCTTATAGTTTAGGAGGCTCCAAGTCCAAATCCTAGGCACCAGCTCTAGGGGAAGGCTTTCTTCCTGGCAGTTTTGGAGGAAAGCCCCTTGCCCCTGAGCTTCTGCTCCTGGATCATCTTCACAAGGTTTAGTGTCCCTGCTCTGACAGCAAATCAGGAAGATGGAAATTATGGTGCAGGGGCCACGTGAGGCCAGTGGCAGCATGACAGGATGGGCCCATGTGGGGAGGCCCCTGCGGCCCTTGGGTCTAGTGTGGAACACAGCATCCTGTATTCAGCTGAGACATCACCCTCACCTGGGATGTTATCCTGCTGTGCCAGCCAGCTGTGCTTCTCTGCTTGGAAGGCTCCAGCACCCACGCAGGGGCTCATCCTGTCATCTATCCTGTTCTTTCTAATGATAACAAGAAAAAGACTTTCAAGATGGTGGACAGAAATCAAGAAATAATGCATGAGGCCTTTCTATGTGTAGGGTGTTGTGTGATGTACAAGTTGCTCAGCCTTCAAGTGAGGTCTGGTTTTGGCTTATCTATTGTATCTTGAATGAGTTTTTGTCTGGGATTTTTGTTTCATTTAAGTCGTCAGACTTTTGGGTATAAAGACATTTTAATATTCTTTTGGTATCTGTAGGGTCTGTAGAAATTGCCCCTTGTTCATTCCTAACTACTGCCATTTTTATCCTCCTCCTTTTTTTTTCTTACTCAGTTTGGTTACTGATGAATAAATACTATTAATCTTCTGAAAGAACAAATGTTTTATTTCATTAATTTTATCTAATTTTTGATGCTTTAGTGCTTTTAAACATCACTATTTTATGCTTGTATAGTTATTTCATTTTAAACATCATTATTTTATGCTTATAGAGGTAACTCGTGGTTGCTGCAATGCTAAGCATTGTGCCACTGATGTGTCAAATGCATTAATGGTTACCCATAGTGGACAGTGTTTGGTGGGGCTCCCAGAAAAACAGGCTTGGAAGTAGGAGTGGCATCCACTTCCAAAATGGCTTGCCTCCATCAACTTTATGAACTTGGAGAAAAGGTGAAGGTTATACAAGTGTCCAGGTCTTTCATTCATAGGGTCACTTTGAGTCATCTATGACTCGACGGCACTTAACAACAACAACAACAACAACAACAACAACAACAACAACAACATTTTATGCTTGTGTATTTATTTCCTTTACCCTCTGCTTTTCTTGTGTTTAAATTATTATTCTTTTTTTCTGATTTCTTAAGGGAAAAGCTTAGCTCACTGATATTGAGCATTATTCTGTTGATGTTGATGTTGTTGTTGTCTGAGTATGTGTGTGTGTGTCTTTTCACATGAGATGAGGGAGGTGGTCAGGAGCCCTTAGAAGCAGGCCACATAGGCTGATGAGTCTAGGGTCAGGCATGCCTTCAGTATGAACAGAACAACATGAAAGCCCTTTGGGTGCTGGATAAAATCTGGCAAGCAAGCATTTTCCCAGAACATGTCTAAAGGGTAGTAGGTATTTGCTGTATGACTGACAAGGTGATATGCTGAAAGTGAGGTGCTTAGAAGGGGTTGTTGTTTGTTGTTGTGTACATTGAATCAGAACTGACTCATAGCTGACCCTCTGGTGGGTTTTCAGAGGCCATTTAACTGCACAGGAAGAGATTACCCATCCTTCTCCTGCAGAGAAGCTTGTGGATTCAGACCACGTGCCTTTGGGATTGCAGCACAGATTCTCACCAGTAGAAAGGTAGTGTGGAAGGGGTTGTTGTTGTTGTTGTTTGGTGCCATCAAGTCATAGACGACTCATAGCGACCCTATGAACGAAAGGCCTGAGCACTGTTCATACATAGTTTCCAGAGGCAAGCCATTTCAGAAACAGATGCCACTCCTGCTTCCAGGCTTGGTTTAGTCAGGAAGCTCCAGCAAACACTGTCCACCATGGGTAACCATTACCACGTTTGGCACATCAGTGTCACAGTGGTCAGCATCACAGCAACCACGAGTTACTTCTGTACAGCAATGCACAGGCCAGTGCTATACCACCCAGAAGAATGTTTGACAGGAAGACAATTTTAACTTGGCCTGAGGTCTGTGCATTTCTGTACAGAAGTAACTCATGGTTGCTGTGATGCTGAACACTGTGACACTGATATGCCAAATGTGGTAATGGTTACCCATGGTGGACAGTGTTTGCTGGAGCTTCCTGACTAAACCAAGCCTGGAAGCAGGAGTGGCATCCATTTCCGAAATGGCTTGCCTCTGGAAACTATGTATGAAACAGTGCTCAGGCCTTTCGTTCATAGGGTCGCTATGAGTCATCTACGACTCGACGGCACCTAACAACAATAACAACAACATAGAGCTATGTTGGCCTAGTGGACAGAACGTTATGCTACCAAGCTGAAGGTGGTGTAGAAGGGGTTATAGGAGAAAATGTTTAAGCATACCACACAGGGTTTGTATGCCATTTTAGGGACTTTTGGTTCTTTCTGGTAGGAAATAGGGTACCATCAAGGATCATAGAGAATTAAAAGCCACAATCAGTTTTCTGTGAGGAAATCAGAAATCCAGATCTCTCCAGCAGCATAATGACCTTATGTATCACAGTGTATTAGAGGAGAACTGAGCTCTACAAGGTTTTCTTAGCTGTAATCTTTATGGAAATGGATCACCAGACCTTTCTTCCACAACACTGCTGAATGAGTTTGAACCTTTAACCTTTCAGTCGGTAGGGGAGTGCAAACCAGTTAGAAGCTAAGCAAACTTTGCCACCCGGGGACTTTTAGCATCATGGTAAGTGAATTCGATAAGGATAAGAGTAGGGGTCAGAAACATGAAGTGGTCCCTGCAATGATCTCAGAGGAGCTGGATGGGGTGGGACCTGAGGAAAAGATGGAAGGTCTTACCTTGGCTGAGAGGAGGACATATATAGGTGTGAGTCATACTTGGAGAGAAACAGCCTACTTGGCCCTTGCTTTCAGAGGCTTTTCTATGTTTCTTCTCCCTTATGGGCCGTCTTACCTTCCCGTTCAGGGAAGAGTGTGACTCCTCTCTTTTCACTGTCACCCCTGTGCCCACAGCACTAGGTTCTGCCCTTGTCAGGTCCCCAGGAGGTTAGGCTAACTGGCTGGAGTATAGGAGACCACTAACCCCAGCCCCAGAGTGATCCAGAAGGAGAAGGCAGAGTCTTTAAGGAGTTAGGTTTGCCAGTTTATTGAAAACCCAAGAACGTAAAGAGGAGTATGAACAAGTACCCTGCCCTCACTCCCAGCCCTCCCTGGAGTGTAGGCTGCAGGGAGTAGGGAGGGCTGGGCCTCACACCACAAGGGACAGGGGTACCTGGAGTGTGGCAGAGAGCCCACTTTTTTACCTGCACCCCACCCACCTTTGGACTCACAGGCCCGAATTAAACCAACAACCCAGGAAAAGAAACACCTTGGACAGGCACCACTGCATCGAGAGCCATCTGGGAGGAACTAGGGGCCCTTTGTCCACCAGGGACTTTGGAGCCTTATGGATTTGAAGAGAAGGGAAGAGAGCCTTCTCTGGAAAGGCAAAGAGAGGGCAATAAAGGGTGGTGGGTTAAAGAGTTCAAATATGGATGGTCAACTCCCCATTGCCCAATTAGTCTAGGCATTGAAGTGATGCTGATGATGTCCACTCTTCTTCTTTTTGGCTTTGAACTGTTCCTTTTCTCCCCTGAGGATTGTTTTTGAAATTCTAATGTCTATTAAATTAGCATTTCTCAAGACTGATTAGCTGGATTGTAATGAGCGATCCAAAGGAAGAAAATGGGAGTTAGAGGCCCTGGGTAGAGCATTGACATTATTTTTGGCCATGAGGCTGAGCAGAGTAGTGACTTCCTGGCTGGGCTAGAGGCTGGAGACTTGGCAGACACTAAGTCCATGGGCCTGGGGCGGGGCGGCGGAGTGGGGGTGGGGGGAAGCAGGGGAGGTCGAGTTCGTTCCTCTTTAGGCTGTGGCTGGCTCTTAGTACTTGGCCCTGCGGGAGGTGGTGGTGGAGACGAAGTGGACGCTGGAGCCACGGCTTCCGCGGCCGCCACTGCAGCTGCTGAAGCCTTCCTTGGTGGGCAGAGGACAGGGGACACTGGGCACGCAGGTCTCGCCCACAAGCACCGAGCCGGCCCTTGTGCCTGCACCCAGCCGGTCCCCATAGGCCCCAACCAGCCGGGCCCCACTCAGGCTCGAAGCACAGGTGCTGCTGGATGTCTGGACCCCGCTGTAGGTGCGCTGGCCGCCGAGGCAGCTGCTGCTGGAGAAGGCCCCCGCGCCGCTGCGTGAGGCGGAGCTGGAGCCGAAGGGCTCTGGGCAGCACACCACGGCGCCCCGGGAGCTGCTCACGGCTGCGGGAGGAGAAGGTGTCAGAGTGGTCGTCCTCCAGGGGCAGAAGGATTTCTGCAAATTAGCCAGATGTTTGTGTATCTACTCAGGTTGACTATGGAGGAGATATCCTAAACTGTGTCTGGGAGGGTAGGAAGCTGAGGTAGATCATATATATAGATGTAGTATTAATTATTTAAATGACAATTAATTCTGTTGTGTCCCTTGGAGTCCTCATATGTTCATCTATATCAACGCACAAAAATTCCCTGGAATCCTAACGCCTCCCCCGCCTTATCTACCAGCTCCACTCTTATTTGTAGCCCATCCTCTGGTCTCCCCCTATTAAACCTGGTTTGGAACAACCCTCCTCTACAGAACTCTTCTTCTTTCTTCTTACAGAATCCTCCCTGCTATCTGTGATGTCCAGCCTTTCCTGCTGCTTCCTGCTTTGTGGGAGCGCTCTTTGATGCCTACCAGGGACTCTTAACAATCTCATCCACCAACTCTAGCATTCAGTTCTGCTGCTTTCTTGTGTACATTTGTGATTTTGGAGTCTTAAACCTATGTTTGAATTCTGGCTGTGTCATTGATTAGCTTTGTGACTTTGGGCAGATCCTGTATTATCTCTGGATGAACTGGGATCCCACTGCCTGCTCCTCTCTCCAGGGACTTGCCTTCTGAGGAAAGACAGTAATTTTAAAGAGTCAAAACTTGCACTTTGTGCCTCTACTCCACTGTGCCCAGTACAGGGTCCTGCATACCTTGGGCATGACCAGTGCTTTGATTGGCATCAGCAGCAGGCGAGACTTCTGTCCAGCCTTGTGCCCTCCTGCGCTGTCAGTGGTGAGAGAAATCACTTTCAAAGGCCCTACCATTCTTTCCTTGGCCTTTACCCTTGAAGTACAAGGCCACTCAGAGCAAGAAAGGCTGACTCCCTCCTGGCACTTTCTTCTACCTTGAAGCTCCTGCAAGGCATTCTGAATGCTTCACTCTGGAGAGAGTGGGCTCTTGGAAAATCTCAGGTCTTGGATAAGAATATGCTCTCTTCTCCCATGTCTCTCAAACCCAGTACTGCCCTCTTCTTGGCAGGTTCCTGGCCCCTTGGGAGTGTCTGAGCAATTTGGAGAGAAATTTATGAAAAAAGATAAGATGTAAGTTTCTTACATATGTTCACAGGTCCAACACCTTCACAGATCCTGGAGAGAGGAAGAAACAAAGTCAGTTTACAAGCACTGTTGTTCTCAGAAAACCTGCTTGCTACGAAGGGCTTTCTTGACTAATGGATCAAGTGGGCCAGACACTTCCACTTCTGGCAGTACATATGTCTGAGCTTTGAAAAACTACATGCTCCTGGGCACCAAAACTATTGAAGTAAAATATTTGAGGAAATGTAGTGTTGTGTTTTTGAACAAATTAGCTAACTCAGCAAAAATACTCTATTATTCTGGTATAATCTGTTCAAACTTGCATTTTGGGGACACATGTCTAGAGTTTTCTTTTAATGCCCTGTTAAGGTCAACCTCAGACTGATATTTACAGCAAGAGAGTGTTCATTTCAGTAACTTTTCAGCAGATTCTCCCTGGCCCCATTAGTCAGTCTTTCTAGATGCCTAAGTCTGATGTCACCTCCTTTTGCTGCACTGAGCCACTCACCGGCTCTCCTCGCCCTCCAGCAGCTGTCTGTAGGTGGCGATCTCGATATCCAGACCCAGCTTAACATTCATCAGCTCCTGGTATTCACGCAGCTGTCTTGCCATGTCCTGCTTGGCCTGCTGCAGGGCACACTCTAGATCGGCCAGCTTGCACTTGGCGTCATTGAGGGCTGTCTCACCCTGCTGCTCTGCTTCAGCCACTTCGGACTCCACCTTGGCTCGCTGCAGGGAGGGCAGACTGCTTTGGTAGAGGCCAGGGAATCCCCAGGTGGGAGTAGAAACTCTGCTTCCTTCTGATAGAAACACAGCTGGTGCCAAGTTCGGACTAGAGTCTCCTGTGGCTACTTTCCTACAGATTGGTGACTTTGTAGTATGCTTTCCCCCTCCTATTTCCCCATCCTTTGACTTCCCTCCCTTTCTTCCTTTCTTGCTACCTCAAGACCCAAGAAGTCCAGAATTTTTTTTTCTTTCTGTCTCATTTTGCCTCTCTGAACCTGTTCCTGGTTCTTCCTTTTAAATTATAGGTCATCTACCTTCTTCCACATTTTCCTCCAGAAAACCTTAGTAGACTAATTCCTCCAGCCTACTGTTTGAGTCTTGGTGGTCTCCTTTATATCCTCAGACTTAGGGCTCCACAAAGCTTAGAGACCTGTCTCTCTTCCACCAAGGCCTTCCTCTCATTTTCTCACCTGAGCCTTGGCATGCTCGATCTCTGCCTTCAGCCTCTGGATTAGACGGGTCAGCTCATTGATCTCATTCCGTGTATTACGCAGATTGTCACAGTGCTGGCCAGCTGTCACCTGCATCTCTTCATACTGAAGGGGGAGGTGTGCCAGAGGTTCAAATATCAGGTCAAGGCCACAAGCATCACTGAATTGTGGATCTCAGATCTCTGTTGGACCCATGCTGTTGTAGATGAGTCTTGCCCCCAGGATTGCTACAGCCCTTTCAAGCCTCCCCTGCCTACCTTGCTCTGGTACCAGGACTCAGCATCAGCCCGGCTGCGCCTGGCAATCTCTTCATACTGGGACTTGATATCAGCAATGATCCCATCAATGTTCAGATCCCGGCTATTGTCCATCTTCACAATGACTGAGGTCTCTGAGATGTGTGACTGCAGCAACTGGATCTCCTGTATTGGGAGACAGACAGGCTCAGAGCTTCTTTTAATGACCTGAATTGGGATCCAACATCCCCCATGTCCCCAGTACATCAAGATATTAAGAGCCGAGAGCATTGCAACGAGTTCTTCCTCTCTGCCTTAAACCATAAAAAGATAGGTCTGAGAAGCAATTCTATTTTACTTTTGAACCCCTGTTATACCTTTTGGAAAAATCCTTTTATCATCCTCACCTAATACTCGCCTAACATTACTTAGATGAGTGTTAAAACTAGGAATTTGATGGAGGGAACAGAAAGCTTATGCACGCCAGGGTTTAAATTTCTTTTTAATTGTTCACAAAGCAACTTTGAGGACAATTAGGACCACAGATTGTTGAGACTTGACAAATATTATAGCACTTTCTTGGCTAAGAATTCCTACATTATGAGTCCTTAAGAAAACTGAGATCCTTGGAACTGGCCTTAAGGGAGGGAGTTTTCTTCAACCTTTCCACTCAGTGCTGAACTTGGTCTCTGGCTGGGTTTATAGCAGATCAAACAGATCTCTCATGAAGCAAAATATGGCAAGTTGGTTTGGTTTATTAAAATGAGAATGTACTTTTTAACTCCTGACAAATTAATTTTTCATAGTACTTAAGTTGATCAATGGGGCATACAGTTCTTAGAACTCAGTCATTGGATTGGCCAATAAGGGTTTGGATCATGTAGATCCAAGGAGTATATCCAAAGGCTTGAGGCAGGCTCTTGAGAAGTTTACTTGCCGTATTGTCTCTTCTTAATACACTAATGTATAGAATGTATAGATTTGAGTGAAAGAAAAGATGTTAATGTCATGTGTTTGAAAATGTGCCAGCCAAGAATATGCCCAATTCAGGCCAACCACTGGTTTCCAAGAATGATCCAGAGGGGCTAAGTCCTCACCTCCATGTACAGTATTTTCAGGAATTCCGTTTCCTGAGCGAGAGTATCCACATTGGTGTCTAGGTCAGATTTATTCAAGAAAGCAGTATCTACATCCTGCAAAAAGAAGAGAAGGATAAAATTCTCATTACCTTTCTTGTTTATTTTACCTTTCCTCTGTGGTAGGTCCAGAGATGGATCAGGCTATCAGGCCAACTCCGACAGGGCTTATGGGGAGGAGGTAAAGTCAGAATGTGGAGAAGAAGCTTAATGACTATTGCTCTTTTCCCGACTAGAGTGTGAAAACTCCCCCAGGGCTGCCAGATGCTTGCCCTCAGTCTAGTCTCAGTCCTGATATTTAATTAATGGAGATATTGAATAATGTAAGACTCTTCAAAAGTGTATGTGTATGTACATATTTAATTATTTTTTTACGTATACGCTTGTGAAGACCTAATCTTAAATAATCTGAGACCAAACCCAACCTTCGAAGGGATGCTTTCTTAATATCATGGGTTCTACCTATCTTTATCTGGGTAGTCCCAGATGCCAAAAGGCTGCCTGGAAGTTTACTGGGACATCTTGGGAACATTTGCCTGCTTGGAAGAGAAATGTTTCTGGGCCTGTTCTAACTTACCTTCTTCAGAGCCACAAATTCATTCTCAGCATTGGCCCGCAAGACCACTTCCTCTTCATACCTGGGATGGAAAGCATTAAAAGAGTGAGTTCTTGCTTTGCACTGACAGGTGGCTACTCCTGATTCCCCCAGTGGACCTCTTAAAACTTTCTTGTTTCAGTCAAAAGCAAAGCTCTGTTGCCATCCATTACATGTTCTTCTTTCTGCCACCTCTAGTACCTTTTAAGAGCCAATAACATTTGAGTGTTCCCAAATTCTTTTTACTTTCCCAAACTGGGATTTGATATCTTGAAATAGGAACCATTGCTATGCTCATCAATTAGAAAAGATTTATGCTTATTCTCTGGATCATACGGAAAGAGGGCTAATCTCAATATTGAACCTAATTATTATTTTTAAAACCAGAATCCATTTATTTCTTGGGCCAAGTCACCATCACAGGTAGAACTATGGGCCAAACACAAAACTTGTGCAATCAAACGGATTCTACACATAGTGATGGCCATCCGTCCTGTATTTAAAATCTTATTTATCAAGAACGATGGAGAAAAAGATTCCCTGTCCCACTTTCCATGGCACTGTCCCTACCCCTAATCTCAGGTTGCAGATTTTTAACTAACATTCAACCTGTTCCCTTCAACTACTCTTACCTGAGTGTGTTTGTTGTCATAACCCCCAGATATGCAGGAGACCCAACATGTATGATCTAGATGACACTCACTTCTTCTTGATGCCCTCAAGAACATCCTGTATATGGTTTCTCTCAGCCTCTAACCGGGCCCGTTCACTGGCTGCCGTGTCCAGCTGCTTCCGCAGAATGTTAATGTAATTCTCAAAGAGGGGCTCCAAGTTGCTCTTGGTGCATTTCTGCTCTTGCAGGAAGCTCCACTTAGTCTCAAGGAGCTTATTCTGCTGCTCCAGGAACCGCACCTAAGCCCACAGGGATAGAGAAATGACAGTTGAAGTGCTTGATATCATCACTCACCTGTTGACTAGTTCTTCAGATGGCTGGAGATGACTATCAAACAGATGTTGACATTACTCTTTCTTCTGTTGACTCTCTTGTCTCTAGGTAGAAACTGGAAGGGCTGGTCTGTACCCCTCTGCTCCTCCTCATGCTCAGCCAGGTTTATTATTACAAGTACAGGCTTGGCTTTTAAAATACTCGGGTATGTTTCTTTCCTTTCTACTCCTCTAAGTAAGGTTAAACTAACCCATCAACAAGTTAGAAAAGTTGTTTCTGCTTAAAATGATCCTTTGATGCTGCTCATTCCAACAGAGAATGAGGAGCAAGGTGAAGTGCATCTAGGGTGGGGTGGGACTTCATTGTATGGTACTAGAGGTGAGAATGGCCAGGTTAGAAACCATAGCTCCAATTCTATTGGCTGAGATTTGCAGTACTGTGGGGTAATGTAAAGATCGCTTGCTTCAATACTCTCATTTTGGAAATAAGAAAACGAAGCTTATGGATCAATTTCCATTCTCCAGCTTGTTGGAGACTTGGCTAGTAAGAAATCAGCTCTTTTGGATTATTCGCGTCAATGTTGGTCTCCTTGGACTTGAAGATCAGTGTTTACCAATGATCGATCGTTCTCTGCTATTGTTCCAAGCCTGCTCAATGTAGCTTGAGTCTTGTGGGTGGGGTTATGGATTCCCACCTTTATGGAATCTGAAGTGAATTTCATTTAAGCCTGGGAAAACCCCCTCCTTTTCCTTTTCGTTTGGCTCCAGATGACATGCTTTGTGAACTGCACTCTCTCTGTGGACTAGCTCATTTACCTGTGTTTCACAGCTTACAAGAGTTTACACTCAGATTGTGCCTACAATACTATATGCAGAGAATCAGAAGTAATCTGGGTTACTCAGACTCAGATAATAGACATTTCATATCAAACAACCCAGATTATAGAATAATTAGCTTTTTTAATACAAGATTACCCAGCTCTACTCTTTACTTTCCTAGACATGTGCAGAAGTTATTCCCAAGCCCAGAAGGCACAAAAATGTTAGAGAGAGAGAGAGAAAACCCCTTGAAGATCTCAACCCCAAAGATAAACATTCTAAACATCTACCAGCTAACCCCCGACTGGAATACTAAGGTTTCCAGCCTGTTTTGAGAAATATTTTAAAGTGGTGAAATGAATAGTAGGTCTTCCTTTGCTCAAGTGCTCTCAGGCTTGGCTCAATGCACTACTTTGCTCCAGATGATACAACCCTTGTCTTAATTTATTCCACCATGTGCTTTTCCCTCAGTTTTGTCATTATTCTGCAGAAAAATGGTCCAGAAATCTCACTCGGATGCCTTTTTTTTCACACCTGAAGAATCTGTGGTACAGTTCAGTTTTCCAGACCTTGAACGGAAAGAGGATCACAATGCATTTCTACCTTCACCATCCCAGAACAAGATTTTCATAGGTACCTTGTCGATGAAGGAGGCAAATTTGTTGTTGAGAGTCTTGATTTGCTCCTTCTCATCCGTTTTCACTCTCTGGGCATTGGGGTCAATCTCCAGGTTGAGAGGGGTCAGCAGGCTCTGGTTCACAGTCACTGCTGTGATAGATGGCGCTGCCGGGCCTCTGACTCCTCCAACTCGATAGCCAAAGCTGGGACCGCTGAAGCCATAGCCAAGGCTACTTCCAGCTCCAAACCCCAGACCAACACCACTGCAGGCACCAAAACCCAAGCCGACACCACTTCTGTCACCAAAGCCATAGGCCACCCTGCTTCCAGCACCGAAGCCAGCTCCACAGCGAACAGAATGAGGGCCTACGGCTGCTATCCGGGGTGGATATGATCCATAGGTGGTGACACTCCGACTACCAAAACCGCCCAGGCCCCGGAATCCAGGCCCACTCCTGCAGGAGGCAGGGCTGGCGTGGACGCGGTGCAAATTCTGGGGTGCCATGGCTGAGCAGGAGCTGAAGTTGCCCACTCGGTGACTGGAGCTGACTCTGTAGGAACGGCAAGACATGATGGCTTTCCTGGCTGGGAGCAAGAGAACAAGTGCCTAGCAGGTGAGCCGGAGCTAGGAGTCCCTCTGAGGCTAGTGGATCCCTCTTACCCTTTTATGTGTGAGGGTACCTGAGGATTGGCCCCATAAAAAGGAAAAAAAGCCATTTGGAGACATTTATGAGCTTGGGTAGTTAGCAGAAACTCTTCATGCCTATAACCTCTTCAGTAATGAGCTAATCTTAGACACACCTATTCTCATCAGGAGCAGGGCTATAATATCAAACCTATAAACATTAAAAACATATAAACACATAAACACTGTGGTTCTATTTTCCCCCATAAGTCTACCACAATTGCCATTATGAGGACATTAATTTGCTTTGATCATGAATTCAATGGGCTTTTTCACTAAGAAAGTGGCTAACCACCAGAAAGTTAGAATGGTAACAGCTCCAGCGAGAGGCTTTCAAATGAGGTATCTATACAGATACATCCCTAAAAAGGTCGGAGAGAGGGCAGAAGAGAGGCAGGGTCTACATAACTCCAAGTGAAAAGTGATAGAATAAAAATAAAGTTTATTGCATTACTGTGAATGGAATAAATAGAAAAGCTTTCACTGTTTTATCTATTTCTTGTGATCTGGTTTGACTGTTTACACATGAGTTGAACCTTCATTAAAACTCATATATATAAGTAGACATATGTGTGAGTTGAGTCATTCAGAGAATATCCATTCCATCTGTCTTTGAATGATTATTAGTACAGAAGAACAAATACAGAGTAATATCCTGAGTGAACAAACTCAAACTCATAAGGCTAAATATTGCATAAGACCATTATTGTGAAAATAGAAGGGTAACTAGTAAGATGTGTATGGATATCCAAAGAGGGAAGGAAGGGGAGAGGGCAGAGGGACTGATGGTGGGGAAAGGGGAAATCATGGGGTCACGGAGTTTGAGGTGTGATTGGAGGGGGTGAAGGAAATAGGAATGATCCAGTGGGGCTCTGAAAAGACGAGGTAAATAGTGGTTGTAGATCAATTATACTGATTTTATAAGATACAATGTATGTGAATAATTTTATGAAACACAAGATAAATGGGGGAAAAATAATAAAACCTACCAAATAACTAAGTCTTAGAGCCAGACTGTTCTTTATAGGCAAGGATGGCAAAGCTTCATCTTGTGTCCTTTGGACATGTTGCTAGAAGGGTCAGTTCTTGGAGAGGGACATCATGCTTGGAAAGGTAGAATGTGTGCAAAAAAGAAGAAGAAGACCCTTAATGAGGTGGACTGACAGAGCAATGGGCTCAAGTGGGTCAGAAATGAAATGGAGCAGAATTAGACAGATAGTTGTTCACAGGGTCACTATGAATTGTACTTGACTCCACAGCACATAATAACAATAAACAGCAACTCCATACCAGGCAGGTTGCTTATTTCTTTAGACACAGAGGTGAAGAAGATAGTTCTTATTCTCATGATGGCAAAGAATGTTTTATCTTGAGGGCTCCCAGAAGGCAGCGTTCTTGTAGCCTAATTTTAAGGCCAGTCTGCCAATGAATTGGCCGTGTATCTCTGTAGAAAGTGAAGCGAATATACCATGTTGTTGTTGTTGTTATGTGCCGTCGAGTCATTTGTGACTCATAGCGACCCTATGTACAACAGCCCTAAACCCTGCTCTATCCTGTGCCAATCGCATTGCCTCTGACACACCCATCCCGATTACCCCAATCACTGAATCAATCCACCTCATAGAGGGTCTTCCCCTCCTGCGCTGTCCCTCCACTCTGCCCAGCATGATGTCCCTTTCCAAAGACCTGTCTCTCCTTACAACATGTCCAAAGTATGTCAGGCGAAGCCCCAGAATCCTTGCCTCCAAGGAGCAGCCTGGTTTAACCCTCTCTCGGATGAATCTATTTGTTTTCTTGGCAGTCCATGGTACATTCAGTACTCTTCTCCAGCACCACGGCTCAAAGGCATCAATTCTCCTTCTATCCTCCCTAGTCATTGTCCAACTCTCTGATGCATAACAAGTGATTTCAAAGACCATGGCCTGTATCAGGCGGACCTTACTCTCCAGAGAGACACCGTTGCTCTTGTATACTTTAGAGAGGTCCCTAACAGCAGACTTTCCCATCGCAATATGTTTTTTTATTTCCTGGCTGCTGGTGCCAAGAGTGTTGACCGTGGAGCCGAGCAAACTGAAGCTGTGAACAATCTCCAAATATATCGTGAAACTTAGTCAATAATTCCTTGAGTTACTGACAAACCTTTGGTTATATTGGAGAGCACCAAATATTTCTAGGTAGAAAATGAAAAATTGTTGATCAACTAGATATTGTTATCATGTAGAACCCAGAGAAAAGCTGGTGTTTTTCTCATCTACTGTAATGTGTGATGCAATTCCTCTTGTCTATCTTTGGGTGTGTACTGTCAAATCAGATCTGACTGTACAGGAGAATATTGTCCCTCCTTCTCCAGCAGAGCATCTTGTGGATTCGAACAATTCCTCTTGTCTGTCTTATACCTGGAGGAATTAAGTTTTTTACTGGATGCTTGAGATTCTACTTGGAAGAGAATGTGACCTGGGATATCCAACTTGATTCTGTAATATTTCCTCTAAATCCAACTATCAGATGTCATGTAAGAGGAAGAACAAACAGAATAATAGCAAGAGAATACCTCTTGTCAAGGTCAACAGTGTGACCTTCATGTTGCTAAATCCAAAGGTCTGTTCCCCACCCTCATTTAACTAGTTATCAGAAATAAACCCTTGAGCATCCTGTCTTTTTCGAAACAAGTTCTCTTGATTTCCAGGATACCACACTCACCACATTTTCTTCCCAGATTATGGTTTATTTCCTTGCTTCTCAGCCAGTTTCTCCTGATCTCATCAACCTCTAGATATTGAAATGCTCCTTGGGCTCAACCTTCTTTTCTCACCTTTATCTGCACTATTCCTTTGGTAACATAATACTGGCTCATGGTTTTAAATTCTACTTACCTCTTGATGTCTACCACAGCATTATCTTTACCGAGGACCGCCTCGCTGCCACCTCTATGCATACATTCTACCCACAAGCTCTACTTGGATATTAAAGAGGCACTTCAAACTCACTATTTTCAAAACTGTATTATAGGTTGTTCTTCCTAAAGAAACCCCTCTTGCCAACATCTGTCTCCTAGAAGTAACTCTGAGATAAAAATCTTAGAGTCATTCTACATTTCACTATTTTCCTCGTACTCCACATTTCGTCCATTTGCAAGTTCTACCTTTAAAATATACATACACTTCTATTTTCATCCCCCCACCCCCGCTACATGTGGGCATAAGTCTGCAACTTCTCACAAGGTCTATGGAAGTGTCTCCCACCCAATTGTATTCATTTCTACTTTTTGTAACACCATAGTCTTCACTCGTTCCTTAATATTGCAGAGGGATCCTTGAAAATTAGGCTGGCATGCATAACCATTTTCATGATCCCTTTGTTCATTTTTTGTTGTGAAATATGTAGGGAAAATATGTCAAATTGTGACAAAATATAGCTCATGTGTTGGGAAAAGTGAAAAAATAATAAGATTGGAGAACAATGATTAAAAATAAATAAAATCATGCTAGGCTGAATTGTACTGCTAGGAAAACAAATAGATTCATCCTGGAAAGGGTTAAACTGGGCGGCTCACTGGAGGCAAGGATTCTGAGGCTCCGTCTAACATACTTTGGACATGTTGTAAAGAGGGACTGGTCCTTGGAGAAGAACATCATGCTTGGGGGGGGTAGAGGGACAGTGCAGGAGGGCAAAGCCCTCTATGAGGTGGATTGATTCAGTGACTGGGATAATCAGGATGGGAGTGTCAGAGACAGTGCGATTGGCACAGGACAGAGCAGAGTTTAGGGCTGTTGTACATAAGGTTGCTAGTAGTCGCAAGCACACAACAACAACAACACGGCCGAATTAGGTTATTTATACATACAAAATTTTTTATTTGTTTCCCATCATGCTCCAGCTCTCTGGTTTCCTGGTTGTTGTCCATCAAAGTTCTGCCTCTAAAACTTTCTCATTCTTTCCTTTGCTGTGTGAATCTCTTTCCTCAAATGGCTTCATGGCTGATCCTGAAACATTTTCAGGCCATTGTTGTATGCCTTTCCTTCTCTCATGCATTTCCAAACCCCGTCCCTGCCTTTTTTTTGCTGTAGTAAACTCACCATTTCATGTCCTCTATTGTAAGGAATTGCTTTGTCATCTTTGACAGGATATAAAGTCCCTGCAGGCAGGCACTGAGGTGTGTGGGTTTTTTTTTTAATATTTCATTAATTTTAATGAATGTTTATAGAGATTTTTAACTTCCATTCATTCATTGTTGCATTTTTTCCCTGCCAACCCCTTCCTCCCCAGTTCACTCTTCTCTTTGAAAAGTAAAAGAAAAATTCCTTCATTGGTGTTTTGTTCTGCTATGTATTTAGAATGGTTGGCAAAGTACAGGCATATGGTAGACATGTATCATATTATTTTGTGGAATGATAAATCATAAAGATTAAACACCGGAGAAGAAAAGGGAGAAAGGAACAAGAAATAAAAGAAGAGGAATCCTGACATTTGATTTTGCTAATATATTAAAAAGAAGAGACCTCTGTCTTCAAAATGGACGGTAATATCTTTTGAGATGAAGGTGCAGCAACTCAAGAGCTCACCGGTGAACCAATACTATTTGTCCTCCCAGCTCCAGTCTCTTGAGGTCTAAGTCTGACTCCTTAGAAGAAAGACTGTCCCATTTCTTCCAGGCCTCGTGAAGGGCTCTGTTGTTGTTGGGCACTAGTGTTGTTGGAATGTGTTCCAATGTTGTTGGAACCAATTCATTGCTGACCCTCCAGCAGGTTTAAGAGGCAATAAATAGCTTCGGTGGAGATTGCCTATCTTTCTCCCGTGGAGCCCCTGATGGATTTGAATTGCATACCTTAGCACCGGCAGCCTGATTCCTTATCACTAAGCCTCTGGAGCTTCCGCCAGTGAGGGAC